GTATCTCCAGTCACTTTAATTTGTGTTGGAGTCTCTCTACCATCTAGCTTTGATTTCCATATGTTGTTAAATTCAGTGAAGGTAAGTGAAGCAAGTATAGATGCCTTTTCCATTAAAGAAAGAGCAATCTGCCACACCTTGTTGTTTCATAATTGGTTCTAATTAGGCAGGAGGCTACCCATTCTTTTCCTGATGCCAGGGGGCGCTCTCTGCAGTTCCAATCCTCCCCTAGACCGCAGCCCAAGCCTTGCAGATGGCATCCAGGTGACACAATGCTCCCAGCCTACAGCCAGACCCAGCTTAGCCTTCATTGTCAGGCCTCAGACACACATGCCTCTCACGCTCCACCTCCTTTCACAGGGTCTTTCACGCTTTGACAACTTATGCTGCCTTGCTCCCTCTTGGAGTGGGCCCCTTTGGCCATAGGTTTTATCTAGCGCACACCTTGGGTAGCAGACGTACCATTTTTTGAGCCTCTCCTGCGACCCTCAACAGGATAGGGGCCAGCCAATTACCCAACCAGGGCCAACCTTGCCCTGGCTCCTCCCCGGCAACTCTATACCCACTCTCACACACATACCGGGCTCCCACCCCTCTGGTTTCCTCCCTCACTGGGGCCTAACCTTACTGGGGCTCCACATCTTCTACCCCCTCACTGGGGCAACAGGGCTTCCCTGCCCAGTGGGGGCTCAGGTGGCCATAGCCCTGCCTGGCCCAACTACAATCCACAGTGATGTGGGGGCTAGGGGTTATTGAGGCACCCCAATCCACCTTCCACCAGGGTGGTAACTAGTCTGGTATTTTTCTGGAGGCTCCCGTGCCACTGGGAGCCTCACCAGGACACCCACACCCGGCAGGGTGCAGTTTTAGGTCATGCGTAGGACCAAGAGCCTCTTGCTCCTATCTGTAGATGTTCTCATACAGCAGCTCAGCCAGGCAATGTTTCCTGCCTGCCAGCGACAAACTGCTCTGTTTATATAGGCGGACGTGGTCCTAAAATGCCCACCGCAATCAAGCACCTGCTGGCTGCTTAACTTGGCCCCTAAAGTGGCAGGCACCAACACTGCCCCACCAGTCACGATATCACATGGACCAGGAAGTGCAAATGATGAACGTGAAGTACTGTCAGCCAAGCAAGATATCCAATATTATTTTAATTCTTCTCCATTCTTTTGTTATACTTGGTCTAAACATTGAACATTAAGGGCACTTTTACACATGCTCCGGAGGGTGAGTGAGGGGGGCAGCACTTCAATTAAAGCACCTCAACACCTCGAGTATCAGTGTCCCCATGCTTCAAAATGGCAGCGGGGGGACTTGAACTAAAGCTCATTTAATGAGCTTTAGTTCAAGTCCCCCCGCTGCCATTTTGAAGCACAGGAATGCTGACACTTGACACATGTGAGGCTGCTGGAGCATGGTAACTACCACACTCCAGCAGACTTGATTAATCAAGTCTGCTCTGACACACTGTAATTACAGCACGTTGGAGCAGCCTCCATGGTTGTGTACAGGTACCCTAAGAGACTGGCAATAGGATGTTCAAGAGAATAGTGTTCTTTTATGAGTATCTAGGCATGTTCTGATTTTCTCTAAAGATTAATATTGCATTTAGGGGAGTTTTAATGGAATAAACTACTTCAGGACCAGATTCCAAAATTTATATCTATTGCCTCCAACCTGAGGCTGGGAGCAGTGCCATGAAACCTGCCTGTCACACTCTGTCCTGCCTGGAAATCAAGCAGTGTAGTCACCGTAGAGCAGTCGAGTGCATGTCAAGTGTGCCCAAAACTGGAAGCCAGAGAGCAATAGTGGGGTTTGTGGTCAGGAAACTCTTACCCAGTTTCAATGCCTCATTTTTGGGTTTTGCCAGGCATGGAGTCAGAGCAAGTGGATGGGGTATGGTTGGTGGCAATCCCAGATATACCTTGGAGACAGTATGGACCTAGCCTAAGTGAAAGTCACAGGGGTTGGGAATATAGAGTATTGAAATAAGATTGTCTTGCAAAGGACAAAATAGGGCAAAATGCCTTAAATTATCAGTGAATTTTTGTGCCCTTTTCACAAATGGAAGTGCAGAACATGCTGTGCGGTGACAAGCCAAGACCCCAGAACATTCTTTGTTCTTCAGTGAGATAACTAAAGCTACTCAGCGGTCTCCTCCCCCAATTTTAAATGGGAAAAAGCAATAGCCAAAAAATAATCACAAAAGAACAAGCCAGGCCTATCTTAGAGCAAGTAAGAACCGTGAAAATGTTTATGGTGGCACAAAGCCCAAGCAAACAGAAGTCCCTGTCCCTTGTCAAACCACAAATGCCCAAAATTGTGGCTGTGATGGTAGGCAGTAAAAAAAAGTGATGCTTTTTTCAGCAGATGTGTTTGCTTTATTGGGGGACAGCATGGGTAGCCCAGAGCTGCCTGAGTTCTCCAGTTGCCCTTGGCAGGCTGATCCACTCAAAGGATGATGTCTGTTTATAGCCAGAGTGATACAAATGGTTATTGCAAGTTGCAGTTGGGTCATCAGTAGCAGCGACAAGAGACCTGTGTGAAGATTCATGGAGATACTGTGGCTAAGAAGCAGTCTGTGTATCCTATTTTATTCACGCTGTTGGCAATGCAGAAATGTTTCAGTAAATACAGAGCTGAAGCACCTCTCCCAAAATCATGAGGCTTGCTTTGAAATCCTAAGATGTGAAAACACTTTTTGGGTTTTTTTTGTCTTCTGAGCTTTAGGTTATAGGTTTCTCTGCATGAGTCCTAGAAATCTTTTCTATATGAAAGCAGAGATTTCTCAGTTCCAGGAGCTGTAGTTGCGTGGGGAAGAGAGTAAAACCTGTGGGAAAATTGTGAGAGCTAAGAACATGGTAGTTGTAGGCTTACCATAAAGCCATTTTCAACAGATGCAGCTAGAGGGCATGGGAGATGGGAGTTACCCAGCACTGTTAAGACATTCACACTTTTCCATGAAAACAGAGTTGGTCTTCAGTTTTGCAGGCCTCCCATCCACATATTTAGCAGCATACAAATAAGTTCCAATTGATTCTTTTAAGGTGCTCCCCTAAGCAGATGCGCAGCTGCTGTCAGTTCACTCTGCCCTCTCAAGGCAAAGATGTTAGGTATAAGCAATGAATAAATTTATGAAGAAAGGACCCAAACTATGTTTATTTTGTGTTTTATTAAACAGCTTTCCACCTAACAATTGTACAACGTGCCCCTAGCTGTGCTCAACTAATACACGTACAAGCGCAGTAGAATACATGCAGCTGGAGCACTCCATGCAATCGGTTGTACAATTTTTTTCATTAATAGAAACCGTGTTCAGCAGAAATCCAGATATCTCAACAAGAGTGGCAATTCAGTTGCCACTTCAGACAAGATGCAAGTTAATTTACAGCTAGGCTTAATTTACAGTGCTTCCTACAACTATGTGATTAGTTAAATCCTCCTCCCCAGAGGTCATGCTTTCTTTATGGTCACTCAGTCTAGCGTGTAATGCTCAGAAACACAGCAGCAAGAGACTTAGCTAGTCCAAAGGAGCATGATGCTTTCAGCAGGGACACCTAGCCAAAGGCAGATTAGCTTCATTGTGTTTTAATTTTTTCTAATTAATTGTCTGCACAATTAGTGCTGAAACCCTTTGTAAGAAAGTCAATGACACTGTGAGGCTTGCCTGTGGTGCTGAAGGAATCTGTGTGGAGCATGGCTTACTATTAGCTCAAGCAATTTGGTGTTTATGGATCTTTCAGCTGACTGTGGCATGTTTCAATGCAGGTGAGCTGGCTGGCATCTAGCTAGCTTAGGCACCCTGAGTAGCAAAGCTGTGATAGCATGGGTCTCAGTGTGGGAAAGAAAAGCTCTCCTGTAAGCCTGTGCTGCCATGGTTTTGCTACTGTACATTAAGTGCAGCAAAGGTGTGCTTCCATGGGCTGCACTCACCTTTCTGATTTCTGTGCAGACATAGTGTATGACAACTGCAGAGTTAGGTACTAGTAGCAAATCTAGCTACTCACTGCCAGCAGCTTGAGAGAACAAAACCACTTTCCTCCTTCTTCAGGACTGTGGCTTTGTAAGGTGATGACCATAAGGTCACCTCCAGCAGTCAGTGGAAATACATAGAAGCAGGCTCCAGAATTCCCAGCACTCACGGAGAATGCTCACTTAGCAGGAGTTTACTGGGACAGCTGTTAATCACTGTACCTCCTTGAAAGGAGTGATGCCGATTAATACCTACCAAAGGACCTTGTTCAGTGACTGGACAACGCTAATTTGAGGCAGATTTTCCAACTTTTGGTTGGGTGGATTCTTACTTACATATCGGACTACAGTGTTCAATAAGTGAGCCAAGTTACTAAGGTACCAACTTATCAGGCAAGCAGATAAAGAACTAAGATGGATAACAACCTGTAAAGCTGTAAACAGCACCCACATTAATAATAGGTTTGACACTGACAAAACACAGTGGAATCAATTCCTTGTCTGCCACATTTGTTGACAGGCCTGATTCCACCTAAGACCTATAACATTACACTGAAATTTAAACAAACCACAACAGCTTCCCAAAATTAATGCATTAAGGAAGCAATCACCCTTGGTAGTAGATTAACTTTCTTTTAAGCAGAAACTTGCTGTGACTCATGGATCTACTTCTGCACAGGTTAGAGTAACATGGTGGATAAGCACAATAGCTTGTGGATTACTCATCTGTCCATTCGTCACTGACAATAAGTACAAAGAGCTAAACATAGTCTTTGCTTATAAAGCAAAAAGGTGAGAGTCTAAGACAGGACTTTGGCATGTCAGTTATAGCTGTGACACTTGCAGTCTGCTAGGGAAGCAGAAATAAACACTCTTCCCATTTCTGTAGTCCATTACAATTACCTACCCAAGGAGCACCTCAGCTATGAACTGCCGACCCCCTGGATAACTGTACCGGACATATTTAGGGGCAAATTAGAGGCTAATAGTCTTAACACATTATCTTTTGTCCCTCTAAGACAATTTTATCTAAGCTTCCATCACTAATAGTCATGACAAACTTGACTGGAGAAAGTTACCTCCAATACATGTTTTCTCCTCTTTGGAAACCGGATACATAAGATAGCTAAACTCTGAGTATGTATGTCCAACAAAATACTGTACATTTCCCTCCCCCCCACCTTGCTTAGAGGTCAACAACAAGAGCTAAGAATTTTTTTTAACTAAACAAAGCAAAAATCACAGCATGGAAAAGAATAAAAACAATGTCAGCAACAGGATTGGTTTACTCTGTTAGGCAAGAGATGAGTTTAGAAAGAGGAACAAGCAAGTTTGCTCCACTTGTCCCAGTGCCATGAAGTACGGTAAGATTCATGCAGGGAAATGCATGGAAGGACTTTATAGTTCAAATGCTGGGAACTTGGCTTTTGTTGGCACCAGGATATCAGCAAGAAAATAAATGGTTCCAGCCATTCCTGAAGAAACAGACAAAAAGTTACTGCTCCAAGTGTATTATAGTGGGCAATTAGCTAGTCCTATCAAGCATGACCGATTTCAGGGGGTGTTTACACCCGCCTCCCCACCAGGGCTGGCCATGCAAAGACTCCCTCCGCTGCCGCCTCCTCCAGCCTCCGGTTCCCTCCCTTGTCCACCTGGCAGCGGGACTTTCCTTGCCTCTCCTCTCCCTTCCCCTCCCTCCTTCTCTGCTGCCTCCCCCTCCCTGCTGGCTGTTGTTGTGGCCAGGTAGAGGGGGAGATGCCACCACCGTGACCCCCCAATCCCCTCCCTGCTTCCCTCCCTTCCTTCCTTCCTTCCTTCCCTGCTGCCTGGCCCCGACAACAACCACCACTGTGACATCCCCCCCGCCATTTCACTGCCCCCCACCCCACTTCCCTCTCTCCCTGCCACCTGTTTTGGGGGGTGTCAGGGACAGGCATCAGGGAGGCCCCACCACCGTTCCCTGCTCCCGTTCACCCTCAGGCAGGGAGGCGTGGGGAAGCCCCACTGCTCAAGCGGCCAGGGTACGCTCGCCGCTGCCACAAACTTCCCTGGCCACGGTTCAAACTTTGGCCCGCGCAGCCAATCGTCGCTCGCCCTCTCAGCAGTTGGCCAAAAGCATTACAGACAAATAGACAGACTAAGCCCTTTATTATATCAGAATTCCCCATGTGCATCAATATTTAGTTAGAGTAAATCAGAACTAGTGTGAATGAGGCATGAAGACTGAGGGCTAGAGAACATTTTCAAAAGTACTTAAATGATTTAGGAGCCTATATCCAGTTTTTCAAAATGACAGAGCCAGATTTTCAATGATGTGCAGGCCCTGAAAAATGCACAGAAGTGCCTTAGTACTTTTGAAAACTCTCCTAGGTACCTGAGGTTTCAGCACTTGAATGTTTGAAAAATCTGGCCTTTAGTGTCTTTGAAAAATTTTGTCCTAAATCCTCAGTGAATGTAACCTGTCCTTGTTCTAACGGAGCCAGGATGACTTGTGTCAGCCAAGGAACTGGCTCAGTATGTGTGTCTGCAGCACCTACAGAGCAGCAGAGGTGTTTGCATTAAGGGGAGCCATCAGCTGCCCAATCAAAGGCCAGATCAATGGCTTCTTTTGTTCATTTCTTTATTGTTCTTTGGAGTGAAAGGGAAAAGATCTGGATGCTTACTGCTTAATGCAGAGCAGAAAAGCTGTCTGGGGAGCCAGTGTGCAATTACTGTAGGTTAGTAACGAATTACCTGTGAGAATTGTGTACTGTATGAGATCTGAGCACGCGCTGGTTTGTGAACCTCCAGGCCTCCTAGCCAGGATTGCAACGGACTAGGGAACTCCTGCTGTGCCCATTATTCTCTGCTACTAATATCTCACTTTGGAGACGGGAGGGGGAAGACAAGGTGGGGATGGAGGGTTGGAGGGGGTGGAATTCTCTGCTAACACTGATTTTAAAAGGCCTTTAAGGGAGTTATTCTCAATTTACTTCAACATAAATCAGATTCAAGATTCAGAGTATATTAAGAATAAAATACTGAACAGAGACAAGATAGAGATTACCTTCAAAGAGAGAGAAGGGTGTGTCTGGAGTCCGGCATCCATGCTGCCCATAGCTCAAACACCACTCTGCAAACTATGGAAGGACAAGTACTGATTCCAGACTCTCTACCAGATGTGATAGGAAGCTTAAAAATACACCCCCCACTATGCTCTGATCTCCATGATATATGCTTCCCTTAAAGAAGGGTCAACAAGTATCTCTATTACATTGCTACTCCCTGTGCTGCTGGTAAAGGACAGTGACTGAACTCTGTTTAAAGACCATGCTGGTTTAAGTGAGATGAGTTCGTAATAGTGCTAGCTGCCTCTCTGCCAGGCTAAAAAGAAGATTACAATGTTAAGAGCAGAATCACATAGAGTGCAAAGGAAAATCATCTCCTCATGGGAACCTTCTTCAGAATGCTAGTTATAACCGACACCATGCTGACAGGTTCTTCTCTTTAGCAGGACATATTTCCATGATTTTTTATAGGATAACTTAAGAAAACTGAGCGGTACAAAGTTAAAAGTTGTAAAAATTCCTGCTTAGCTTGGACTACCACTGTTTCCTTCTCAGACTGGATGAAAGGCTGCTTGAAGCCAGAAAGCTCCCCTGATCTCTCCCCCAACTACTATGGCAGCCCAAGGAAAGGTACTATATGACCCCAGTTCTTTTATATCCATGGATGATCACACCTAAAATGTCACTGTTCAACAAGTATGGTATTTAGTTTTTCTATGACCCAATATCTCTCTGTATTGCTGATCCAGATACTTACCTTGCAGGCCCTGTACAGGTATTTCATGTTCTGAGTGAGGTTGTATAGTGTCAGGAAGGCATAGGCATTGCCAGCTGTCCCATGGCACAGCCCATACCCTTTCTTTAGCAATCCAAACTGCCAGATCACTTCTGCACACTGAAGGGCATCATTCAGGTATTGCTGGTCACCAAACACCTGTGAAGACAAGAGAGGTTCCATTTTGCTGCAATTAGCCCCTCAGCCCTGCCATTACCCATGCTGGGGGCGGGGAGGGGGGCAAGGCCCATGCTCCCTGGCTAATTATCTCCTCTGCTACTTAAGCAATGGTGCTGTGACTTTGCCGTCTACTTTCAAAGATTTTTAATGTGATGAATGGAGCAGCATGTCCATTATTTAACTCACAACTAACTGTCACCATTAGTCATCTGCCACCGAATAAAACACATGGCTGACTCCTTGAGCAACAGGAGTGCCCTGTACTCAGAGTACGTGACTGGGATGTTTTCAGAAGTCATTTTTTAAAGTCTAATTTCCATTTTAGTTGGTGTGGGCATGTGGCAATAGCAATTTCATTCTCATATTACGTCCCCTGTTAGAGCAGGGCATTGCCAAGTAGAAGTATTTTAGAGATCAAGTTCCATGTTGGATGCCTCTTGGGTTGTCCTGTACCTTATAGGCCTGCGCAAGCATGTAGATCACACCAGGTGCTCCGTGGCACCAGTGGACAAGCAGGTCTCTGGTGTCATCGATACAAGGTGGGTAATTGCCTGAAGGGAACTTCAGCTGGCAAACATAATCCATGCTGGGCTTGACAGTATTGTGTAACTTCACTTGGCTCACACCAAGACCAGACTGAGAGACAGAGAAAGAGAATGAAAGAAAGAAAGAAAGAAAGAAAGAAAGAGAGAGACTGTAAAAGTAGAAACAGCTATGCTATTCCCTTATCCAAACTGCAGTCAGCTCTAGTGGCAGAAGCATTTTGCGCATCAAATCTAGAGTCTGGTGAAGTAGATTTTTTCCTGCAGCTTTAGCTGTAACATTTTAGCTTGTATCTTGGTTTTGATGCCTCCACAAAGCTTGGTTTGGAGAACAGTAGCTGATTAGTGCCTCAGGTAAGGACTCACTTCTTGTCAGACTCCAATGCATCTCTCTCTGCAGCAACACTGCCTGGCACATCTAACCCTCCAGCAAGAGGAACAAAATCAGGGTGTCTTTGGGCCTATCAGAGGCAAGAAGAAAACCTATATGGCAAATCTGAAGGTTAGGAATTACTGAAGGAAGCGTGTGAGGCGTCTGACTAGGAGTACAGGAATGAAATCCAGGCAAAGAAAATTTAGGGTGAACAACACGAATGCTTTTCAGACACTGAGATCTACCAAATTAAGAGTCACCCAGGTAGCACACCACCGCCATATCTTGAGCTGCTATACCAGCCCAACTGCAGGATTACAGTTCTTATGATTGTACAAACAGCTTCAAAGGTAAAAACAAGGGAGCTATTTCACCCCACACCTCAATGGAAGCAGGAGTGGGTCCTCAGTGTCCTCTCCTAATTACACTGTACTGGCCAAGGTATTAAATATAGTTTCTGTATTCACTTGGCAGCTCTGAAACCCTTGGAATGAGCATCTGAAGCTAAGAACTGAAACATTCCCAAATTCATGACCTGAAAATTAAAAATCAATACCTGTCCCATAAAACTACCAGAGATAAAGAACTTTAGAGTCAGACGTCCTTCTTTGAACTGTCCTTGATACACTTCCCTTCAGACTTTTGGTGCATTATGCTTGGCTGCCTCTTCCTTTATTACTTGTAGACCAGCTACTGCTTGAAACTTTAAAAGGGAAGTGATTACCTCTTTCGCATGAAAGCCCCAAATCCCTGTCCTGCATAGTAGAGCACCTCAATGAAGCCAGACTAGAGTGGGCACTGAAGGTTGTTTAGGTGGCTGTTTTAATTATTTGCACTGTTTAGCTTTAATTATTATCATTTGGAAAATATGAGGGTAATCTTGCTCTTTCTTAGACTTCTAAAGAACTTAAACGTTAATCTAATTCTCACAATTATTTGTGGGAGAAGATCATTATTCTCTTTTCAGAGAAGGGAAAATGGTTCAGTCATACAGAAAGAGTCAGAGGTCAGAGAACATAAAGGTACTCCTATTTTTGTGCCTCATTCCCACTCCACTTGCCTGCCTTTCTTTAAGTGCCAGATCTACATGACGAGCTGCTGAAAACTGACAGCTAAATGTCAGGTAAAAAAAAAGTACTGTTCAAAGGGGAGATATTATCATATGACCTCCAAATTGTTGGCATTAGTCAAGCTCTGAGAAGACTCCCTCACACTATAAACATACCCATGAAGTGGGATGGTGATGGTGGTAATAATTTATCACTAGGAATATATCTACTATGTACAGTTGTATTTTCAAAAGCAACTTGCATTCACCTCACTCTGCTCCTGTTGACACCAATAGGGGGTTATCAAAGGCTCTGGTGGGAGTGGAAGCAGGCCCACGGTAATTGCTTTGGAAAATCCCACTTTTAATGTTTGGATCCAAGCTCTGATTTGGAACCGTAGGCATTTTCTCTGCACTTTCACCGCAATTTAATCTCTTTCACCAGGTGTTTGCTGCAGGGGGTTTCACTTTAAAAGGATCAGCAAATCCTCCAGTTCCACGGAAACACTGGCCAAAGATGCAAGGCACATACTAGGGTGACAGAGTCCACTTCATGTAAGTGATAAAGCCATAAACTTCAGTGGGACCTGAAGATGCTCAGTACCTTGCAGAACTAGGTCTGGTACAAGACACAGTGCATTTCTGGGACAATGTAGACAGGTCTGGATATGTACAGTAGATGACTAAACACTTCAGAGTGTAGTAATCCCCTAGAATGGGGGTTGGCTACCCTTTCACAGCTATGGGCTGAAATAATGCAGTTTGGTCTGAGGAGAAGCAGGTCTTTCTGACCCAGATGCCGCTGCTTCTCCCCGGTGCCAAATTACTGCTGTCGCACGTGACCTGGCTGCCACTGAAAGCAGCAGACTCTCCTTGCTGCCCAGATGCCACCAATTTCTGGACTTTGTGGGTGGATGAAATAATTTGGCAAACTGGATCCAGCCCATGCACTATAGGTTGCTATCCCCTGCCTTAGAAGCACCCAGTCCAGACCATTTTAGGAGTATTTTGAAATGGGATTCATAATCCAACAAATGAGCAAACCCGCCAGACAGAACAGCAGGACTGACATGACTATGACATCACCAAGAGCCAATCAGAAATCTGCTAGGCGTCCCAAGTTCTAATTGAAGAGCATAAGCAGACGTGAAACAGCTGGCAAGGATTTTTCCCTCCAGGAATCTCTCACCTGCATGAGATAATAATAAATTCCTGCCAGGCCATGGGCTGCCCCTATGTAATATTCCTGGTACCACTCATACATCAGTGGGCTCTTTGCTGTGAAGTTCCTCCTTTTGGCCAGGTTCTCACCAGATGCCACAACTGCTTCGGAGACCTGAGGGCAAAATCAGATGCGAGTAAGTACTGCCCTGAGATAGCTCAGAGCCAGCACATGGAGGCTCAGAAAGCAAAATTATTTTGTTATTCTGCACGTAGTCCAGGCTGTAGAAGGGGGAGTGGAACAGAGAGTTCTTTAACTCTGTACAGGCATAAATGGATTAAGAAGGGCATTTAGTACAGTATTTCTCTGGAAGAAAGGCACTTCCAGGAGCAACTGGATCACCATGTTGTAGCTTTCAGACACACCAGGGTTGTTTAGAGTGGCATCTTTTTTACCCTCCCAAGGATGTGTTGGAGGGGGATAGAAGACAAATAAGGGTTCAGGAGGCTAATTAAATCTTCATTGGAGTGGTCACACAGTACCTGTTGAATGTGGCTCTGAGGGATCTTTTCCTCTCCAAAATGCTTGTTCACAAAGACCAGTGCATAGAGGTATCCTATGCGCCCATACAGCAGTTCATCAGGCACTCGTGCGTCAAGTTTGTGTAGATGCAGCAAACTGGAAAGAAAAACTCACATGAGAGAGTGTAGTAATGCCTTCAGAAATTTGGCTTCTGTTCTACAAGCAGCATCTTCAAAGGCAAAACCCATCAACCTAACCCTTCTACTGTGGCAGTCCGTGGGAGCATTACCATCAACTTAAAGAGGGATAGAGTTAAGCCAAATCCAAGAGCTTTTGCATATCCCACCCTTACATTCAAAAGTCCTAACCGTAAACATAAACTAGCTTTCCCTTGCTGTTCCAAAATGGCTTTGGCCTCACCCTTGGCAAGGAAAGAAATGGAAGAAATAAAAGAGAAACAGACCAGTGGGAAAGGGGTGGTTGCGGAATAACTGTTTCAGAGGTCAGCAGTGCCGCAACCTTGACTTGTAAGAGGTTGGAGTGCTGGGGTGGATGGGGAGAAGCCACGAGGGGTCTGATCCTTGTTGTGGCAGTGCAGCTCCAGCACCTTGCCTGATGTTCACCCTGAGGCATACGTACCAAGCAAGATGCCTTTGAGTGCCACACTCTGGTACCCGTGCCAGAGGTTGCCTACTTCTGATAACTTCTATGGGGAACAGAAGAAGTGGTCTGCTAACAATCAGCCATCTGGGTTAACCAGTTCTAATCACTGGATCAGTCTAGGACAGCAGCGAGCTACCATGTGGACTGTATGAGACTGTATGAGACTTTCACTCAGGGACACAGAGCCTGACAGAGTCTGAAAAGTTCTGGTGTCATTTTTCAGACTATTAGCAGGTTGCAAGTCAGTGATACTTCTGCAGTGCTAACAATGACTGACGGCTCTTAACGGTGCTTTGCAGCCCAATCACTCATGATGCAAATTAGTCTCTGTTTTGCCTCTTCCAACAAGGTGAGCTGTCCTTCCCTGTCAGAGCAGTAAGCAGGATGCAGAAAGGAGAGTAGGTTTTTCCCTCCTCCCTGAGAGACTGGCCTTCTGAACACCCTCACTTTCATAAAAGCATGAACACAGGGTTTCTTCAAGGCTGCTTCTTCTAGTCCCTCCTGCTGCCACTCTGGCAGGTACAAGACAAAGGAGCCAACACTTCTGAGGACCTGCATGTTCTGGGTTTCTGGGTCACATGCAATGTGAGCAAAATTCAAAGGTACATTGTCAGTACTTGCTCTTAGGCAGAACAATTTGTTTTAGAAGGAAGAAGCAGCCCCCTGGTATCAGATGGCAGGGGCTGGGGTCTGAAATTGAGTGTAAGGGAGCTTTCCCTTGGTGCTGGGCTCAAGATAATATTTTAAAGGCAAAGGGTCTAGAGGAGCACTCCCTCCATCTCCTCAGAGTATATCTGCTCTGCTAAGTGCTGTGCTGCTTCCTGTGGGATTCTTCTCCCAGATGAGAGCAAGACCTCGATTTCTAACATCTCCAGAGCATACAGAACAAATATGGTTGGCAGGCCCCTACCTCCCACCAATCCCCCAGGGTCAAAAGCCCTCCTCGGACCTCAACATGATGCTATTTCTAGAGAGGTAGGTGAAGTAGCTGGAGCCTGGTATGGGAAGAAGGGAGTGCCTGGGAAGAGCCAGGATGGATTCCAGGAAGAACCCAACACTGGGTTTGGTGATGAAGATGCCTGGGTCTAAGGGACAGAGATTGGGTGCTTCAGACAGATGAGTGTGAATAAAAGATGGATAAGTGGTAGGCCATGGGCAGAAGAATTGGGGGTACAGGGTAGTTTTGTTGTTGAGCAAGTAAGCCAGTGTTTTCTCCCTATGTGCTACTGCTGCAGTAGCTGCTTCCACCAGCTGGTGTAGTGAGGGGTGAAGGAAGAGAGCCTGCAGAACAAATTCTGTCAGCATCTGGGAAGCTGAACTGCAGAGTAAATGAGAGAAGCCCGTAGCAATACAGTCAAGCATAGCAAGGCTACCATATGTGCATGTGTGATGTGAGATGCCTGACGCCTGGCAGCACTAACTATACCCTGAATACTCTTCCCTAGCACAAGGCAGGTAGTGAAGATGCTTGAGAATTAGAAGCACTGCTCTTAAATTAATCCACTATTGCAACTGCTGAAAAATCAATAGGGTCTGGATGAAATGAAAGCGTGCTGATGCATCAGGAGACAAGATTTTGTATGTCAACGGCACTAAAAATAAATACTTGACCTCCTGAATTACTAGAAGATAACAGGAAAAAATCTGAATTGCAGTCCCTAAGAGCATAGACCAGGTTTTCATAAGCTCCTGGAAAATGGGCTGCCTTGAAACATTCAAGCCTCTCAGGAGGGTAACACACATTTATTGGTTATGAGTTCATTTAGGAAAGCTAGCAGCCCCCCTAAAAAGGCCCAGAAGGAGAGGGAAGGCAGGGAGTGCTCTTCTGATACACATCTCTTCAGACTTTGCAGGAATACTGTACTCAAATGTACAAGGAGAAAAACAGGACCAGTCACAGCAATTGCCATTGTTCTCCAAATCAGAAGCAAAGAGCTTTCCCTGCTTTGTACTCCAGAACTTGGCAAATGCTTTTGGAGCTCAAAAAGAAATCCAAAACCCATTCTGCGTTTTGTTAACTGGAAATATTTCTGGCAGAAAGTCATTTTCCTAACTTAAATGGCAGGTTGGTCAGAGCTAAATAATTAGTAGCAAGCAGTAGAGACTGAGCAACCTAACCATTGCTTCATGAATGCCCCATTTTCTCTTTTCTGCTTCTACTTCAAAGTAACACAATTACAGGCATTGTTCTCTATAAGCCATTAGATGGCACTGCGGAATTAAACTGAATTTCTACTCTACCATAAAACTGAGCTAGTCTAGAAAAAGGAATAGGTTAAGGGACAGTTAAGGAATAAGGCACTGACAGACATGAAAAAAACAAAGCAAAAACAGTCCTTTACCGAAAGAAGCAGTGTGTTAGTTTGACCCAGCTCTGCAGCCTCTGTATAGATTAGGCACTTCAGTGGGGCTTTTGGGCTATTCAATCAGCTATTCAGCTATTGGATAAGTGCCAAAAAACCCTGATGAAATGCCCGATCTCTACAAAAGTTGGGTGAGCCAGGTCCAACTAACATGATGCTTCTTTTGAACATTTGCTGTGTTTGATGCGGGGGTGTGCCAAGTTTAAAGTGCCATTTTTTTCCCATGTCTGTAAGCAGGAAGCTGGGGGAGAGGAGAAAGGGAGGCTTCTTCAATCTGGGGTTCAATTCCCTCCAACACTATACACCATAGTTAAAAAAGAGTAGTATTCACAATAGCAAAAGTCAATCTGATACCATGTTAACCAATCCAAGATTGTTAAAACCGCACGTGTATATCGGGCATAAACAAGGGGACTTCTCATCAGACTGGTCAAACCTGCATATTTTAGCATCAATAAATTAATACATAAAAGCAGTAAATATTAATTACAAATATAAATTAAAGGGAACTCTGATAAACTTTTTTGGTTGATCTGAATCCCTTGATTTTTAATTGATGGAGCTGTATAGACCTTTTAGCTAGTTTGCTCAGGCTGTTCTGCTCATACTTCTGAAGCTGGTAAGAGTTGTTGTGCTTTTTTGCTGCTTACCTTTCAACGGAAACTGCTGCGATATTTTTTTTCAGCATTTTAAAACTCCTTCTAGAGGATCTACCCTTGAAACCTACCACAAAGTGTGACTGCCTACCTTTACTAAATGGTATTTTTCCACTGGATGCTTACCTCACTGCTTGTGAGCACATGCAATCATGAATAATACAACTGAAAACACCATTAAGAAAGATAAACAAAGAAACTTAAAGTCAACAACCCTTTAGTCGCATCATGTCTCTAGTAAAGTGTTTTTGAATTTCAAAATAAGGGACAAATGATGACTATACATTTCCAATATTTTTTTCCATTTTTAAATCAACTACAGAACTGGGTTTTGTTTCCTCCAGAAATTAGTCCTTATTTTTAAATGATGAAAACTGAAAAAGCAAGTGTGATTCTCTTATGCATTCCCCCCTGTTTGACTGCAGTGGCAATACCGGCTCAATGATAATAGCTATTCTGCCCACCATCCCAGTATGTAGGCTGTAACAAATGGGCAGTCAGCCAGGCTCCATTTATGTCTTTAATGATCGCCATTTCTCTATGACATGAAAATTCTCTTTTATATTTCTTGTCCAACTGCTGAATTTTCTCCTTCAAGTAAAGCATCACGGCAGACTCTAACAAGGCTAAAAGGGGCTAGTAGAAGGCTGTATAACCTGGTAGAAGGCTGGCATATGTCTGAGCTAGCGTTGAATCCTAGAGCAAAAACATTCAGATCACTTGGGCAAAGACAAACCATCAAACGTTACCGTGTGATGCAGTCTTCTGCTTGCTTCTCATGTTGCAGCTTGTGATACACTACAGCACCAATTGCCAGAGGCCCTGCATCCCCACACAAGAAGGTGATGGAGCGCTTTGTGAGACAGCTCAGGCTCTTCTTCACATACTCCTGTGCCACCTGGAGGTAGGAAGGGTCTCCGTACACATCATACAGGTGTAGGTAAAGTAAGGCGATGCCTGCAAAGGAGTAAATGGGTTCAGCCCGGGGCTGCGTGTTCTGTCTTTCTCCCTATGTGCTGCATACCTCTGCAGCTCTATTTAAAATGTAAAGTTCCCAAACTGTGTATGATGGAGGACAAAATAGTGAACACCCAGATTTACCCCTCATTTCATCTGAGGCATTAATATTCCTTTATTTATGGCTAAACAGACCACCTCCCAAATGGTAACAACAAATATATTTCTCTAATTTAGTCTATAAGGTACAAATCTACCCTTCCTAAAAGTGTCTTTGACGGACAAGATGATATTTGCACTTAAAGCAGCTCTCTAGCCTTTACCATGTTGTCATCCTTTTATCTTTACCAGGACACCTTGTTTTGCCCTGTCTCATCAAACAATATGGGAATGACAAGGTGATTATGATCCCCTCGCATATCCTGGTGATCACTAAGCTAACATGCTCTGCAGTAGTTTGGACGCTCGGAGGAAAAGGGAAGGATTCTTTGAGAATGGACATTTATTTCTCCCCGGGCAGAGAATCAGCTGTTTCAAGAGCAAGTACTGTAAACAAAGAGTTTCTCCCTCCCCGCCTCCTTTTGCTTCTCCCATGCTATTCCTTAGTGCAGCCCTTTGAAAGATCTTCCTCCCCTAGATCTTTCAAAGGAGGTACCCAGCCACATAAACAATGCTGCTGCTAAAAAGCTATGTCAGTGATTTTTGCTTTGAGCCTTGCTGTGCTCCTCTCTCATCCTGCTCTTGAAGCCTGTTATACATAAGGGGGAGTTATCAGCATGTCCTTATTCAAAAGGTCTGTCACACTAGATAGAGCGCCTCCCTTCTAAAAACTGGCTAGTTGGAAGGCGTCTTCAAATGGATCCATGGTCTCGGGGCATCCTCAAACAATATGCATCAGAGAAGCTAGCAGCCTGTATCATTTCCAGAAAATCTCATTTTGCCCTGTACAGTACACTTTCCATCTCATTAACCATTTCTAAGAAGACACAAGTCCTGTGTTTAAGCCTAAATTAATAGAGCCAATCTCTTCAGATTTCGATGCGGTAAAAAAAAAAAAAAAAAAAAA